GTCCCTTCAAGATGCTTCAGTCTATGGTGAACACCATCCTCCTGTGTGATGCATTGCAACAAGACAACAACTCAGTCAGAGAAGACGGTGCCAAGGGAGAAGAAAAGAAGAAGAAAATCACTGCCACTCAGCATCAATCTCCTCCCAATGATCCAGGAACCCCCGAAAGAACTTGACACCCAACCCAGGATCAAGACTACCGGTGGTGGCGCGGATGCTATGCATGCTCAGCTGCGGCAAGCCCGCATCCGCCGCCCGCACGCCCATGGCACTGCTCAGCATGGGCCCCACGGTACCACCGCTGCGCGAGTCGTTGCGGATCTGGAAGACCTGCAGGCGGCAGCCCGCACGGTGGGCGACGCGGCGGAGGATGGCGGTGGAGACGGCGTCGGTGGTCATGTGGCCGTTGGAGTCGGCGCAGACGGTGAGGCCGACGTTGAGGCGGGGGATGTGGGCGTCGAGGTAGCGGGAGAGGAAGTTGGGGTTGCCGGCGTGGGTTACGTCGGCGGAGAGGAGGAAGGAGGAGGCGTAGGTGCGGGCCATGGTGTCTGTTCCGGCCGGCCCTGGCCCAGACGACGAAGGCGACGAAGAGGAGGAGGAGGACGAGGACGAGGACGAAGAGGCGAGGGACTCGACGGCGCGTTCGATGGTTTGGGGGAGGAAGTTGCCCCGCGCGCCCTGGCGGAGGAGGGAGCCGATTTCTTCGTTGTCGAAGAGGGCGACGAGCTTGATGTGGCCGTGGTCAAGACGGTCGGAGGCGGCGAGGAGGGCGGTGAGGGCGGACCAGCTGCAGAGCTTGTCGTCGATGCGCGGGGCGAAGATGAATTCGCGGTCCAGGCCGCCGGTCTGGGCGGGCTGGCTGTCGTACAGCTCGAGGTCCCAGTCGAGGATGGAGGAAGGGGAGGAGAGGCCGAGCTCGGAGGCGATGAGCTTCACCAGCTTGGGGGGTTGGCTGCTGACGAAGGAGCCGGGAGGGCCGAGGGGTTCGGGTTCGGGGGCGGGGGCGGGGACGTTTTCGGAAGACGACGAGGAGATGCCGTCGAGGGCGAGGTCGGAGTTGTCGAGCCCGATGATGGGGGCCATTTCGGTCTCCTTGTTCGCGCTGCCGGTCATGCCCACCCCAAAGTGCGGGGCGAGGGTGGGGATGCGGGCGACGGGCCAGCCCAGCTTGACGAGGCGGACGGCGGTCTTCCCCGAGTCGGGATCGCGGACGACGACGCGGCCGCCCATGCTAAGATCCCTGTCCCACCAGGTCGAGTTGAGGGCGCCGGCGTAGGGGGCGACGCCGAGCTGGACGTAGCCGGCGGCGTTGCGGCGGGAGCTGATGGGCTTGAGGCGGGCGGTGAGGGCGTCGATGTGGCCGGCGATCATGGCGACGCCGTTGCCCGGCTTGTAGGCTTTTCCGACGGCGAAGGCGATGAGGGCGCTGCCGTTGCGGGTGGTCCAGTATTTCCCGCCGGGGCGGAGGCGGCCGGCCCAGGCGTCGCGGGCGGGCAGCTCCTCGTAGCCGGCGGCGCTAAGCTGGGAGCGGAAGTGGGCGACGGTGTGGAAGACGGTCGGGTTGTCGGTGATGAAGTCGCAGAAGGGCTTGGTGTAGGCGCCGGGGTTGCCGGTGCGGAGGGCGCAGAGGCGGCAGCTCTCGGGGGAGACTAGCTGGACGGCGAGGCGGTTGGGGGAGGGGAGGGTCGAGAGGCAGGGTGGGCAGAGGAGGTTTTCGGAGGATGGGCGGTTTGCCATGTCGGCGATGATGAATTCGCTAGGGATTGGTGTCGTGGTTGTGGCATTCGGCGTCGGCGTCGGGGTCTGGGGCTTTGAGTGCCTGGGGGTCGTGGCCATGGCTGGGGAGTTTGGCCCAGACAAGGCCTGCATGCGGAGGGAGAGGTTGGAGGCGCGGGTTCGAAGGGATTCGGGGGTTTGCTTGGTCATGGTGGCTAGTTCTGATGATTATGACGGAGCGTGGTGGATTGTCAAGGCAGATAGATGAATGGAAGGGGGAGTTTGAAGGAGTATAAGGTGGGAGCTGGAGCCTGGTGGTGTTGGTGGTGTCTGGGGGACCAGCAGGGCACGAGCAGGGGGACGAGACACACCGCCCGCCTGACCCGAGGCGGTGCTACGCCGCAGTACGGAGTGATTACGTAAGGTACCTAGCGATAGCGATAGCGACATCGGATGGTTACCTTAGGTATCTAAGGTACCTAATATGTATCTGTGCCACCGTTGAGATGACGATGAAACAAGGCTTGTGCCGAGGTACGTACAATGATGTAAGGTACCTTAGGTAAGGCAAGGTACGAGTGCTAAAAGATAAGACACTACGATAAGATAAGATTAAGATGGTTTAGGTAAGGTAAGAACAGACAGCCTAGACCGGATTGTTGACTGACTCGACTCCTGCTCTGGGTCTACGAAGCAATTAATCCGCGCACCTCTGTCCTTTGACTCCTTACTCCTTACTTGGAAAGCACCTTATGACGTTGAATCTCCGTCCTTGATTTCGGCAAGAAATAATACTGAATTGGACATTGCGAACTATGTTGCCCTACGGATAGAGACAAATGCTTTCGAGTTTCTCCCGACTCCCGAGTCCTCAGAAAACCCCTCTGAGAAATTCTCGTCTTCGAGGGAGACTGCGAGAGCATTCGCCAATCCGAGCCACGCTCTATACTTAGATGGTGTTGAGGACATACTTGATACCCTCCCACTGCTCGGCGCCGCTAGCGGCAATCTGGCCAGCGGGCAGGACGAAACCGCTGCTACCGCTACCAGGCCCGGGGCGGAGCTCGACGGTCCACGCGTACTCAGCGCCCATGGCGCCGCCCATGTAGTCGGGGGAGCTGCCCGTGGTGGCGTACAGGGTGGAGCAGCTGGGACCGTAGGTGAAGCGGGTGCCGGAGACGGCGCGGATGGCGCTGGAGTAGCCGGCGGCGACGCTCATCTGGGCGTTGTGGTTCGGGGCGCGGGCCTGGCAGTTGTAGCCGTAGGGGAGGAGGATGTACTGGCCGTAGCTGTGCCAGTCGATGAAGAGCTTGATGCCGCGCGTGCGGAGCGAGTTGGTGAAGGTGGTCAGGGCGCGGATCTCGGGCGTGTCGCCGGCGGCTTGGCCGCGGTAGGTCTCGCTGCAGGGGCTGGTGGAGGCGCCGCCCGGGGTGCTCCACTGGAAGTTCCAGTTACGGTTGCCGTCGGTGCCGACGCAGGAGGTGCCGGAGCGGGGCTGGCGGTTCTTACGCCAGAGACGGTCGGACGATTGGGTGTGGACGAAGCCTGGATGCATGTGTCAGTCGGGGGACTCGGGGGTGTGTGACGAGAAGGAGACGACAGAGGAGGCGGAGAGAGCACAGAGGGGGAACTCGGGGGAGGGACAACAGGAGAGACCTACCGTCAGGATTGACAAACGGGACAATGTAAAAGTCGTACTTGTTGAAGAAGGAGCGCACGAGAGCGTCGTTGTTCCGGTAGCCGTTGATGAGCTGCCAGGTCAGGTACTCGACGACGGGGGCCGAGATCCACTCGCGGGCGTGGACGGTGCCGTGGAAGTAGATGGCCGGGCGGTTTCCCTGGCCGTTGGGGCCCCAGAGGTGGATGCCGTAGATGGAGCGGCCCTGGTGCGAGTTGCCCACGTTGAAGATGCGCGAGTTTTGGGGGAAGGCAGCCTGCATCTGGGAGAAGAAGGTGGCGTGGTCGGCGTACGGGCGGTACGAGCTGAACCACGACAGCGCGGGGAGGGCCTGCTGCCTCACCTCGATGGTGTAGTTGGACTCTTCGCCTGGGGGGTGTTAGTTTTCTTTCTTTTTTCCTTTTTTTTTCCTTTTTTTTTTTTTTTTTTTCCTTCTCTCTTTTCATTATTTCTCATTATTTTCTTCTCAGGGGGCCATACTCTCATAGAAGGACTCGACGGGACCCTCCAATTCAAGGTCGACGCTCAGATCCTCCGACAGGAGAGAGGCGTCCAAGCCGAGAGCCTGGAAAGCCTCGACATCCTCGGGGGCAACAGCAAGCTCAAAGTGGTCGCTCTCGCCGCAGCTGACCTCGACGGCGTGCAGGCCGTCGATCAGCCTGTGGATCTCCTCCGAGTTGTCGTGGGTGTCGATCCGGAAGACCTTGTAGCCGTCGTAGCTGACGCGGTCCTCGGCGGCGACGGTGGTCACCAGCACCGCGAGCGCGGTGATGGCAGACTGCACTCTCATGGCGGACGAAGAAGAAAAGAAATGTCCTGGCGGAGAAGAATCAAGAAGAAGCTTGGTGGTGGACGAGTCGGAACTGGAAAAGGGAAAATCAGGGGGCAATGCGAGAGAACGCCTAGATATATAGTCGTCATCTGCATTCTGTAGTACTGCTGTACCACCGGGGGTTCCGCTCCCCTGCTTTTCCCTATCCTTCCCCTCTCAGTCTCAGCCCCTTCCGATGCATCATGCCTTGGCTGGGTCTGCTGGGTGTGGACTGGACTGGAGTTGGACTGTGCGGGTGAGGGCATTCGCGGGGCCCTGTCGATCAACCGTCCCTCGGGGCTCGAGTCTCGAGTGACGAGTCGAGTGTGGGCGTGTCGCAAAAGCGGCAGGTCGCATCGTCGCATCGTTGCATCGTCGCATCGTCGCATCGTGTGATGAAAATTCGCGCAGGGGTTTACCGTTTGGCGTCATGTGTTGGTGAAGCGGGATTGGATGTCGTGATCGGGGTTGTGTTCATGTGGTTTTCGAGAAGAAAATAATAATAATAATAATAATAATAATAATAATAATAATAAAGATTTCTGGACGAACGTGACGATTCTGGCGCGTATTACCTCCTGCAAGCCCACGAGGACAGTGATGCATGGGGGCTGAACTTGCTGAAGGTCCTCAAGTTGACCAAGCGCCGGGGAATGCATCCCTGATTCGGCATCTGACCCTCCTCCATAATCATGCAAGATTGCCCGATTGTCACCCTGTGGCAGCCTGGGAGCATCAGTGATGATCAGAACGCGGCTATTTGCCCCAACTTCGGCATTCGTTAGGACTTGACCTAACTGACCTGCCGTATCCGACATGGCGCGCCGGCGGCCAGCTTGGCTTGGAGAGGCCCGAGAGGGACGAACAAGGAAGCTCGATGGGCCATCTAGGTTTTGTTGCTGTGATAGGCGGCGTGTAACTGTAGCACTGGGAGTTTTCTTACTAACTTTTCTGCAAGTTAGAACCTGGTTTCTAAGCCCAAATCGGCATTTGCGAATGACGACTTGCTGCCTTGCAAGTTGCAACCCCACAGTCATCACATGCATACCTATCACTTTTCGTAAAAAGGATATAATGTTCTGGAAGCAACAAGGATTGAGAAGAAAGCAAAAGGCGAGGGAAGGCCAAAGACGCCGAGACGGTAGTTCACGAAACCGAGGACCTGGACTTGGAATGACCATACGGTAGCATGTAAGTTGTAAGTTGACGTTGTAATAAAGCTGTGCTATAATACAAAACATCCAAAAACCAATCAGCGTAAAAAAATGGAGAGAACATGAAGCTTGGAAATCTGGGCCCCGGTCCCCGGCCTCTTCACCGGCCTGCCGTTTGTCCCTCTTCCGCCTGCGTTGGCAGTGCGTCCTTCAGCAGTCAGAAGACATGGACTCACGATCTAGACTCAAGCCACATCGTCGAACTCTCCTTGAGCCATTTCCATCCATTTCCATCCGCCGGCTTGACTTCATGATATCGCTTAGAACTCAACTTCAGATAATCAGATTCCGTTACATACATGAGACATCGTGCTCACGTTGTTTCGTGGGGGGAGGCCCGGGCGGGGGAGCCTGCGACTGCGACCTTGTTCACCTTCCTGATTTGGCTGATCTGGCTTTAAATGCTATCACGCAATTGGTGCACGCACGGCTCGGAGGTGATGACTACTGGGTGCATGCATGCGATGCCTCGCGCAGGGTGGCAGGGTGCTTCGATGGCATGAAGCTATCGTGTTAAAGTTTCGACTATCGTCCATTCACCGAATCCTCCCGATTCCCGGCCCGTTTCGTTTCTATGGCCCGCAGTAGTAGGATCATGATCCTGTCTCTAAGACTAGACTCTGGTGTTATCTCCCGACAGGGGTTCTGCCGCAACTCCTCAACGCTGATATCATGAGAGTAATGTCAACATGAAGTCATTTGACGGGAGGGGATAACTATTGGGAAAGCCAGATGTTGTACATTACCATTCCTAATCAGTCCCGGACGTTTCGTGGGGGACATTTTGGTGTGATAGTACAGAAAGGATAAAGGGAGGCCTACCCGTAGCCTAGCGGCGGTGCTCAGAGTGGTGGTATAAGGTACATGTAGGCTGGGATACAGGTTCGGGCTTATAAATGTGCTCAAGGGGCCTCTCCCGACCAGCTTCCCTCGAGTCCGTTCTTCCCTTTTTAAACATTGTCTTCTTCCAATTTCCCAGTCCAAGGTCACAAAATACATTCATTTCCATGGTTCTACGTCCAACGTGTTTCTTCACCTTTATAAGAACCACCCTTTCAACTCAATGATGGTACATGTTACCACAACTTGAAACTAATGACCTTTCGAAATAATGAACTACATCTAGGGCCTCCTAAAGACTCGAAAGAGAAACCAAATGAAACAATTGAAGGATGGAGAAAGAGCAGAAGAAAAAGAAAGCGACTTACTTGAGCGTCTCCCAGGGTATATTTTTTTGTCTCGAAATGATCAGCGACCTGATTATTAGTGAGGGGAAAAGAAGGCAGGCAAGGCACTACAAGTGTGTACCACCTCTTTGTCAGTGGCCCTGGTGCAGTTCTCCCTAAAACCTCCTTTAGTCGTACGATCTGGTCTGTGCGTTTCCTTTACAGTATGATTTTTATAAATAAAATTTCATAGCTTTCATGGAGGTGGGAATCCTGTGGCTTCTTGTCCCCTTGGGGGGGG